ATATAAGTATGTAAAAACATGCAGTTCAACTGCAAATTTACCCATGATTTTACTGGCATCTTAAGGGTTACATGGATGCTGATATGAAGAAGAATCTTACACCTTCTCACAAAGGAAGGCTCATTTTTTAGAATAATGTTTTCCCCCCTTAGATAAAGACATATTCCAAATCCCACATAATTAAAAATACTATACATGCACCCAGTTTAAAAAGACAAATAATAATAATTCTACAAGTTCCATTACACATAAGAGTAGCCTCCTAACTCTCACATCATATTTCTACTCCACACTGTCACTTTATCACCCTAAAACTGGGTATTCTCCTACTTGTTTCTATATTTCTAAATATGCTTTTATTACTGTTTCTTGATTTTTATATTTAAAATATTATCTACTGGCATCCTATTGGGGAATAGAAGAGTATAACTTTCTTGTTAATGCCCTCAATTTCCCTTCCCCCTTCTTTTGAGTATGCAAGTCATGTGACACTTGACAAAATGCATCATTAGGCGATTTTGTTATTGTGCAAACATCAGAGTGCACTTACACACACCTAGGTGGTATAGACTACCACACGCCAGGCTGTATGATACAGCCCATTGCTCTTGCCCAGCATCATCACAAACGTGAATAACGCATTGCACTACAAAGTCACAATGGCTATGAAGTCACTAGGCAATAGGGATTTTTAACTCCATCATAATCTTATAGGACCACCACATACATGGTCCATCACTGACTGAAATGTCATTATGTGGCACATGACTATAGTTTGATAATTTTAATGAAATCAACCTTCAGTGTTGATACTATGATGACTTTTTTCATAGTACAGTATGGTGAGCGCTATAATTATATTTCTAATTTTGAGTGATCTGTTTTCCTCTATAGTTGTCTTTTTTTGGTCCTTTTGTTTTCTAACCACTCATCACTAATTCAAAATCTATTATATTAGTCTGCTTGGGCTGCCACAATAAAATTCCTCATTCTGGGTCACTTAAACAACAGAAAATTATTTTTTCACAGTTCTGGCGGCTGGAATTAAGGCAAGGTTCTGGTAGAAATGGTTTCCACTGAAGCCTTGATATTGGCTTGCAGAAAGTTGTCATTTTGTTCCCTCTTCACATGTTTGCCCTCTGTTCACGTGCACCCCTGGTGTCTCTCTATATGTTCTAATGTCCTCATCTTATAAGGACATTAGTCATATTGGATTAGGGTCCACTCTAATGGCCTCATTTTTACTTAATTACCTATTTAAAAGCACTGTATCTGGGGCTAGGGCTTCAACATGTGAATCTGGGACAGACACAATTCAGCCCAAAACATCTGCCCAGAAGTGGAAATCTCCTTTTAATACATTCAACCACATCAGGTAACGGCAAATTCACCTTTTTCCCCGAGGCACCCTCCTGAAGCTCTCTACTCTGTTGTGGTCTGTTTGCACTCCAAGCCTGCTGTTCAGCTGCTGGCGTAAGACCCTAGGATCTGCTTTCATCATCACCTGGGAATTCCCATTCTTTCTTCTGTGCTGGATGCCAAGTCTACCTTTTCTTCACTCATTCCTTATTTTTGGTAAAACACATCTTCTGGCAGCTTTCTGAGAGTTGTGTATTTTTTGAAATCTTTAATATCTATAACATTTTTCTCCTTATTTGACTGAAATTTTGCTGGGATACAGAATTCTAAGTGAAAAAATATTTTCCTTTAGAATTTTGAAAGCATTGTCTTATGACTTCTAGTATTACTGATGAGAAGCCTGAAGACATTCTGATACTCCATCCTTAGTTTTGAATATTTTCTTCTTTTTCTCCTACTATTCCTCTTCTTCATTTTCCTTCTACTCCTTGTTTTGGCCTTTATCTCCTTCTCTCCGACCAGCATAGATCTTTCCCAGTCCTTATTCTGTAATAGGTAGGCCCTCTCAATTTGATGATTTTGGTCTGGAAAATTTGTTTATATTATAGCTTTGATAATATTCTCCCTCACTGTTTTCTAGAATTTCTTTTTTAGATCCCTATTATAGAAATATTGTTTCTCCCTAATAACTCCTCTAATTTTCTCACCTTTTGACTCTTCTTTTCCATTATTTAGTTTTATTGTTCTTTTTATTCATCTTCACTCTTCCAATGTTATTAGGTTTATCTTCTAGGTCTTTTATTCAATTTTTCATTTGTTACCTTATATTTAATTTCCAGGAGCTCTTTTAGGTTCAATACATGTTTCTTGCTTTGCTGTATCGTCTAGTCTACTATTCTTGTTTTGTTTATGTACAATTTTCTCATGTTACTTGAAGATATTTATTAAATATATATTTTAATATTGATTTCTTCTCCCATAATTATATATAGTGGTGTTCTTATTTACTGAGTTCCTCTTCCCATATGTTTTTGTTTGTTTTCATTTGTTCTTTCTTGTTCTTGTTAGAAATTTCCTCAAATGTCTAGTGATCCCTGATGTCTGAACACATATAGGAGTGATACACTCAAAAGATGTTGGGACCTGAGTGAATGCCAAGAGCTTGTTTGGATTTTACTATAGGGTGATTAATCTTTGATATTGCACTTGGGAACACCAAACTTTATAAGTGTGTACATAAACACACACACACAGATGTGCACACACTTTGATAGATAGATAGATAGATACATAGAAAGAAATAAGGCATTTTCTTTCATGGAGTACCATTTTCCCAAAGAAAACGTCTCCAATCTTGTGTTGATAGAGATGTGTACCTGGCTATAAGGGTTCTCAAAGCCATTTGGGAGAAGTATCTCACATTCAGTGAGGCAACTTGCTCCTAATTTCCTTAATTTTAGCATGGTCCCTGGACACTTAACTGCACTTAGTGGCTCTGAGTGGAGGGTATCCCTGGATCAGATTCTCTAGATAGTAAGCCTCTTTTACCAAGGTTGGGGAAGTAATCAGCAATGGAGATGTAGAGGGGTTCAGGAAATCTACTTTTCTTACAAACTTTTAACTACTATTCATATATTTAGTCCTACGTATAACCTTACTTGCAGAAGCATCTGGTGCCTCTATATTCTGAGACTCTTGAAGTTCTGTTGCAAAAAGCAGCCTGCTTCTAATTTGCTTCCTCTTTCAACTTAAAATTTAACTTTCTTCCTTGTTAAGTCAGTTGCCATTCATCCATCTGCTTTCTAGCTTCCAAAATTCTATTAGTATTGTCTCATCTACCAAACCCTTTGTCCTTATGGCTATAAATCTTTTTATTCATTTCTTGTCGGTTTAGTAGAGTTTCAGGAGAAAATGGAATGCATTCGTTTAACTGAAAGCTTCCAAATCCACATTGTAAAGGGTCTTCAAGCAGACATTATGTATTTATTGCCTAATGCTTATATGTCCTTTGTTACAGATAGACATTTATACATGCTACAAGACTGCAAGTATTTTAAAACCAAGTTACCACTTGAGAGGCACAAGATTCACAATTATGTAAGTCAAATAATTACAGAAACACAAGATTATGTTCAGTTCAAATCCATTTCTTCAATAAATATGTTTGGAGCTCCTAAGAAACTATTGAAATAGCATTTAAATGAACCAAGGAGGGTCTAGACTGAAATTAAGCAGTAACTGTGGAGAAGAACAGATATATATTTTTAAATATATATTTTAAAAAGAAACATTTTAGAAGTGTTCCAATCATTTGTTTGCTCTTGTGCCCTTCTGTTAGTTTTCTGCCATAACAAAGAACCATAAACTAGATGGCTTAAACAATAGAAATTTTTCTCACAGTTATGGAGGCTAGAAATCTGAAGTCAAGATGTTGGCAGCGTTGAGTCTTTCTAAGAGCTGTGAGGGAAGAATCTGTCCCAGGCCTCTGTTTTGGCTTGTAGATAGCTGTCTTCATGGTCACAGGAGATTACCCCTTTACACATGTCTGTCTCTAAACTTTCTCTGTTTACAAGAATACTGGTCATATGGATTATAGCCCACCCTAATAAACTCATTACAACTGGATTACCTCTATCAAGACCTATCTCCATATACTGCAAGTTGAGTTGGGATTTCAGCGTACGAATTTTGTAGGGACACAACTCAAATCATAGCAGCCCTCTCCAAATGAAGGATGAGAAAGTTGGTTCAAAATTTTTAAAACTGAGAAAGAAGTTTAGGTAAATTACCATGAAGATAACAAAGAGCCTGCCACATTTAGTCCTAAATTAATGTAACAGAACATGCCTATTAGATGCTCCAAAAAATGACAGATCATGTACCTGAAAGATCTATGCACATTTTGCCTTTTCCCTAATCTCAAGGCACCATGTGTTCTCATTTGTTCATGTACCCCAGATATGGCTAGAAATGGACTCACTGGCTTAGAAACGCAGGAGGTAACATAAAAAAAAGCAATTTTTAAAAATAACAAAACACTTTTTAAAAAATAGTTATAATTTATAATTTATTTTCAATTTAGTTAAATCTTAATAGAACTTTAGATCTAAAAAGTACATTATAGAGATGATATAAGCCAAAATTACCAAACAGAGATGTGTTTTACAACTACTTGGGGATCTTTTTAAAATATACAGATTCCTGATTCCTGTTTGAGATATCCTGAATAGAATATTCACAAAAGCATATTTTTTAGAAACTCTCCAATTGATTCTAATGTAGGCTGCCTAATCCATCTGTTTTGTTTTAGAGTTGAGAAAATTGAGGCCACTTTCACAAAATTGCATATGATAGCACATATTTAACAGAAAATGTTATTGTTCTGTTTATGTAGGACTCTTTTCATTGTGACTGCCAGAAAATTAGATGATTTATAGAAACTACTTCAAAAACACTATGTTGACACAATCAATGAGGCAACTATTCTTATGTTATGGCAAAGATAGTTAAGCACTATTTGTTTCCCTTTATTAAAATTTTAAGGTCACTCATTTTTAATGTTGGCAGATTTTATGAAACCAAATTTAAAAAATTTCTAAAGTGGAAAGCACGGCTTACTAAAGGAGATTTTAGAAACTTACAGATGACGTCCTATCCACTTCACAACGGCTGCTCAGAATAAAACAGGCCTCAGCGTCATCCATCCTAAATACAGACAGAAAAACAAAATAATCACACACTGAAATATCTACATATTGTCTTAAAAATAGAATTTCAACGCTAAGTCCACATATTGCACAAAAAGTACATGAATACCATGTGCATCCTTAAGCTTAAATGAAAGTTGAATTTCTAGCAGATCATAACTATATTGGACTCTGAACAAAAAAAGTTATTGTTGGGTTGTCTATATACCTCAAGAATTTATGAGAGAAATAAAAACAAAGCCAAACTTTATTTACTTTTTAATGATTATATATGTTTTAATATATGCTTTTATTAAATTAAGGAGGTGGTACTGGCCTTTATTTTATGGTTAATTATATATTAAGTATAATGTCTCAATTAAACTAAGAGAGCTCGAACAGAGGTGCTCAGTATCCATAAGTTACATTCTACTGTATATTTATATTTCTTGGAGGTGATTCATCATCTTGTTCCAAACCCCTTCCGCTCATGCTAAGGTTCAATAATTTTTGAATTTAATGATAAAGAAATAGTATATTTTAGTGCTTGATACATAATGTTCTAAAAGCATAAGAATGTTTATTTTCAAAACAAGGCATGATTTATCTCTGTGGCTCACTAAGATGAAATAAACCTTTTCCAAAAAAAATATTTTTTATGGAGAAGAAAGATAAAAGTCTGTGAAATTAGACCAAACCAAACAGGTCTGGAAAAATGTTGCGCCATGGTTATTAAGATAATATGAGTATTGGATAACATTCTCTAAACATTTTCAACAAAGCAATTCAAAACTCATGCAACTGACCTTTGGAACTTGTTTGGAGAATCCTACTCCTTGTTCCTTGCATGGGGAATTGCGCTGAAGAATGTATTAGTTAACATTAAATCCCAAATCTTTTATATGAAGTTAGGATTAGAAATGAACATAAAAATGGATAATCTGTTACTCTAACTTCTTTCTTAACTCAGCTTTTCGAGTATTACCAGTCAGCTACCTCTCTTCCTCAGTCTCTTCTTTGTTTATTCCAATGAAGGAATACTTCTTGTAAATGTGATTGCTTTTGCTAAGAAATCATTTTAATACTATTAACAGTAAATTAGCTGTGTTCATCCTAAATAGAATCTAGCCTAGATATTAATAGCTAATGCTAATAGCACAGATTAATTTATCAGATAGAAAAAAGCTTTCATTTATGACACAAATTCATACTGAACACAATATGGGCATTATTCATGCTTATTTTGTAAAGAATAACTCTTATACAATAAATTTAGAACATCGATTATCTATATAGATTAATATAATGATCCATATTATATCAGTGTCTAAGCAACTATTCCTCTAGACCACCCAAATAATGAGTATAGATAGCAAATAGCAAACACCTAAAGACAGTATTTACTTGAGATGCTGGGAAAATCTGATGACTTATAGAACTGTATGTAGAACTGTCATATATACAACAATGGCATATACAAAGTATATAATCCACCAAAAATAACTTAATTTTAATTATGTACCACTCATTATATCCTGGTAGTTTCTAGTGACTTTCTTGTTTTACAAGTTAAAATATTGAAGAAAACTCAGTTAAATTGATATTATTATATATATTAATAAATAAAAAGTAACATCAGAGTTCCTGACTAGGTACCTAGTCATCACTTGCAGGATTAAGCAGCAAAAAGGAACCTGGGATTCTGTTTCACAAAGCATTTTATTTTTCCTTGGTTCCTTTCCATCACCTCCTATACACACACACATACACACACACACACATAGAACATGCACAAACACATATATACCTACTGACCACACTCAGTCCATCCAGAAAAAAAAAACCAATAAAAAGCCCTTATGCTATAAAATTCAATAGGGGACATTTTTTAATCTAAAAAACAATGCAGGACAACTCAAGGACAAACATGAAAACATTATTTAAAACTTTAAAAACAGCAAAATATATCAAGCAAAACCATTTCTGCTAAGGCTTTTCCTCTGGCTTCTGAAACTAAGGATGTTGTTTTGCAGGTTCCCTGATTCCCTGGTGTCCACACTCTGCCCAACTGTGCTCTCACTCTGATCATGTGGTATAATCCCCATGACCCGTGACAAACATTTAAGACTTTGTCACTTTAGCCAAATTGGCTGGCACATGCACAAAAAGAAGAGGGCAGCAAAGTAAGACCTGTCATCTTTCTGATTCCTCTGTCCCCCAGGGACTCTTTTGTTTCTGACCCTCGGCAATATAAGTGCTGTTGGGTCAGTACATATTGCAAACTCTTTAAAATTTAAACTTTGACTCACACTGCTTTGGTTTCACACATAAAGTTTTTCCCAAGATTTTTATTTGTGGAATAAAAACAGTATCCAGGGATTTGGAGACCACTCTAACAGTGAGTCTGGATACCTCCAGCCCTACTCTGACAGCTTAAGATAATTATACCATGCCACACATAACGTGTTGTTTGGACACGGTCTGCTGAACAACTTTGCCCTGAGACGGGGCTAGGAAAGAGAAGCAAACACACTGATTTTATATGTTTAGCCTTTCAGTTTGACCAGCAGTGAGACTAACAAACACATCCTCCAACACTGAAAAGTGCTTAAATTTGGAGAAGAGAAAAGATATTAAAGCAATCAAAAATGTACGCTACAAGATGGAAAAAGATAGGGATACCTACTTTGCTCTCAACAGGTCTTGATCTTTAAGCGCTGACCCTTGAAGGTAGATAACCCTTTGGGACCACATTGGAATCTGTAGCACCCTTCGAACTTGCACATCCATTTCAGTAGGACACAAAATCACCACATAATAATCCTATTCAAAACAAATTGGGCAATGGATTAGAAACAATAATGCTTTATGTTACACAATATAGGCAAATAAAATTTCTAAGAAAATCATGAAATATGATAAAATTGAAATAAACTCTTGCTAATACATAAAAGTTCACATTTAATACCTGGGCATATGGTAAATAAAACTGAGCTATAATAAACATAACTGACACATACAAAAATCTCATAAATCAATAAATTCATCCTGCCTTATTTCATTCCTATTGGTACCATAAAAGGAAAGTAATCTGTATTTATACTTGGCACTCATTTCCAGCCTGTGAAGTTTTTAGTTATAACTACAGGCTGATCCTAAAATCTACTTTGAATACCAAGAATAGGCATTTAAGTGTCAATTCGTACTTGAAGTTGTTGCTTTTAGAGTCAAAAACTGTGATAGTGATTTATATTATTTGGTAATATTATTATGAACTGACAATTTTGACCACAACTGACAATATGACCACAATTTCTGATAAATATTTGACCAGGTAAGGATTCATAAAAACATTTGAAATTCTGACAAAGTAAATTAAAGAGTTGAGCTCAAAATATTTCAAACTATATGGTCCTTTGGAGAAAATGCAAAAGTATTCTGAGTGATGAAATGGTTTGAAACAACTGATCTACAAAAATTAAAATTCTCTGGTAAACATTCACCATTTTATCACTCTAAAATGTATCTATTGAGAGTTTTTGGAGTTTTAAGAATTCTCTATATTTGATATCAGACAAAGTCAATTACTGTGTGATCAAAATTTCCCCCAAATAGCTTTTCTTAATGGGTTATAACGAGCAAATAGCTTTTCTTAATGGGTTATAACAAGGAAACTGGAAATTATTCAGTGTGAATAATAAACAAACCAGAAATAAATACAGTTCCTCAAAAAATGCAAATTAATTTATGTGAAAATAAAAGAAGATATTATATAATTTAAAGATCATTTACAAATTAGGTGTTTTAAAACAGAAAATATAATATTTTTAAAAGTCTCCAAAGGATTGACAAATCAATGTTTCTATGTTTCATAAGGGAGGGATAATTAAATATGCCAAGCAATGTCCTAATCGCTGGGATTATTCAACTTCTTAACACAAATTTATTGAGGAAATGCACTACCTTCAAATAGTTCTTTGCTCTTTGGAGTGGACTAAGTACATTAAGCAGAAAAGGAGATTACCTAAATCTACATTGGCCCAGTACCATGACAAATGGAAGAAATATTTGAGGATTTTATCTGCAGAGACAGATGGAGAGATTTTTCTGAACTCATATTCTCAGTTCAGCTAGTTATTGTCCAATTATTGGTCATTTATTGCTACTATAAATAGGACCTATTTACATTTCAGGAAACAAAAGAAAAAGTGAAACTCCCAGACTTCCACATTTCCATTAGCAATACTTGATAAAATTTTGCAGTATTCAAATGAGCAAATGATATTGAAATGGTTTCTTCATTGTTTTATTATATTTTATCATAAAATTCACTGTTTCATAAAAATATCATTTATGCTCTACCCAAGGAAGAACAAGCAATCCTTTAATTCAAAGAAAATTTTTCTCTGTAGCATTAACATAATTCCATCTGTCTTTTCATGTAGATCCAGAAGGAAACTCAAAGTACTGCGTATTTCTTCAGCTTTTCTTTTTTTCTCTATGTTCCTGGTTATATTTGTAGTTCTTCATTTACTCTTTCTAAATTTGAGTGTATAAATAAAAATCCTCCACAAAGCAGCCTGCACCATCCATTAATTGACTTTGACAATATGTTAGTAGGTATGATCTAGTATAGTGCATAATATAAGCCAAATGTACCTGTAGTCTTGGATGAGCATAGAATTCATTTAAAAAATCCATAAGTAAATCAATCTTCAGTGAGCTGACACACAGAACAACATGCTTTTCAGTTTGAGCTCTATGTCGACTATAGTTTCCACCTGACTTTTGTCTCTCCATCCATAAATAGGCCAGCTGTTCAAACTATAATGTATTTTCCACATGTGAATGAAAAACACCAGATATGAAAATTAAAAAATCAATATAATACATCTATTGTTTATTAGGTACATTCAATTTGTTAGATGGAACTCACTGACATTTGAATTATCAGTGTTTCCTTCAATAACAGACTTTTTGTATGACTTCGGCAGAGGTTGCAAATGCCTTCCAGGGGTTTCAAGTCTCTAAGGAAACATATTATTATAACATGATATTGCTATTATATCATAACAGGCCACTGAGAGGGTGCAGCCTCTGCTTTATGTCCAGTAGATGACAATGAGTCATGCGCTGAACGAAGGAGAAAAGCCTCTTCGGCATTTCTTCACATTCTCTGCCAAGTTCTACTCACATCTCTTGCAATGAGAGATACTCTCACCATAGTGCACAAGGCCACATTCTAGCTGTACAGCAGCCTATACCTGAGGATAGTGAAGGGTGCAAGAGAGAGATTTCAGGAAGGAAAACATGCGTGATTGGATAGGAGTAGGAAGGCGTTGTAGGTTCTATACTCACACAAGATATATTTAGATACACTGTGGCCAAAGCTGTTTAATGGAAAAGGCAAGTATGATTCTGTCACCACCTCCTGTTTCTGACCTGCCCAGACATGGGCACCCAGGGGGCACTATAGGAAAGTGTTGGAGATTGCATCTACTTGTCTTTAATTCCATTATATATTGTGGTTCCTTTGCAACCTCCCATTCCCTCTCTAAAATGCTACATAATATTTATATACCATGTTCAGATTTTGTTTTAGTTGATCAACATAAGCAATCAATTTTTATTCAATGCAGTGTATGATTTTTAGATTTATTTTCTAGAACAAAGAGGAATCAATCTTTCACAAATATATTTCTTTGACCTGCCATATAATTAAAAACTATACTAGGCACAGCCAGGCACAGTGACTCATGCCTATAGTCCCAGCATTTTGGGAGGCCAAGGCAGGAGGATTGCTTGAGGCCCAGAGTCAAAAAGCTACTCTCTAAAATAAAAAATAAAAAAAAATTAGCCCGGCATAGTAGCGTGCACTTATAGTCCCAGCTACTCAGGAGGGTGAGGCAGGGGAATAACTTGAACCCAGGAGTTTAAGGCTGCAGCGAGCTATGATAGAGCCAATGCAACCCAGCCTGGGTGACAGAGTGAGATCCTGTGTTTAAAAAAAAAAAAAGAAATAAAAACTATATTATACTATAATTAATATAGTTAAATACCTTATATTTAAAATAAAGTATCTTGAAAAACTCAAGTGCGATATAAGCTATCAATGTCACTGGAGGGGAAATAAACCCTCAATGTTTCTCATAAAATGTAAAAAAAAAAAGCATTTCTATATAATTTATATGATTGATTACACGTAATAGCATCTGTTAATATGTTCCTGTTAGATAAATAAACCATCCTGCATTTCTTATTAAATGTCAATGCTTCAACTTTATAAGTCTTTGCACATTTCTATTGATAAAATTTAAGATAGTTGTGTTTACCTGTATGGGTAGAACCACAAGAGCAACACAGATCATAGCAACAACAAAAAGCTTGGAGGACCATGTTTCAGGAGTGACATCCCCAAAGCCCACAGTAGAAAATGTGACAATGCAGAAATAAAGGGAATCAAAGAGATTCAGCTTCTTTCCTATTCGTTCCAGATGTTGGATCCCACAAATGCTAAAAAAAAAAAAAAAAAAAAGAAAAAAAAAAGCAATAAAATTAAGTCTTTCAAATCAGACACATTATTTCTCATCATTATTCTTTTGAAAGCTAAAGTACATTTCATAAAGGATTTAATGGTCGGGTCTTATATTTTACAATATTATTTTTTTCCAGAAAAATATAATGTTTATGCTTTTTTCCTACATTAAGCAGATTTGGTCTTATTTTCATTAACAGCCAAAAATGGTAGCCAATATATCACAAAGTATATTTTAATAACATGTAAAATTAACAGACTGAATTTCATGGATGATACACAAAGACACTGAATGCATGTAAAGGAAACAAAGAGACCAGAAATTGCTAAATCTAGCATGAATGTCCTCTCCCAAACTCTTGTTGAAATTTAATTGCTCTTGTACCAATATTAAGAGGTGGTACCTTTAAGAAGTGTTTAAGTTATAAAGACTCCACCATGATAAATGAGCTCATGCTGTTTCCCACAAGTGAGTTTTCCCTCTGTCTCCTATGTACTGTCTCCTTCTTGACCTTCTACCATGTGATGCCTTTTGCCATACTATGATGTAGCAAGAAGGCCCTCACCAATTGCTGGCAGCTTGATCTTGGAATTCCCAGGCTCCAGAGTTGTGAGACAATATACTTCTGTTCCATATGACAGACAGCTGCATCAAGTATTCCTTCCCCCTCCCTCCCTGACAGAGATTAAGGCTATCCCTCCCTAGCTGTCCTGATAAAGATGATGCCAGAGCAGAAGGCTGGATGCGACTGGGGCAAAGGAGTTGGTTATTTGAAGAATTGACTACAAACAGCTGTACAAACAGCTCACTGTCCCCTGCAATATCTGAACTCCACGTAGCAGGAAGCAATTCTTCACCTGCCGGTTTGGCCCAGAAACAAAGAATTTAACAGGACAGGTGGGAGGGAGTTGGCTATCCCTGTGTATAAAAACCCTCACTAAACCCCCTTGTGTGCTGACTCTCTTTTTGGACTCAGCCCACTCGCACCTGGGTGAATAAAGCAGCCGTGTTGCTCCCACATAGCCTGTGTGTGAAATCTGTCCTTTGGGTCATTCACCCTTTCAGGACATACTACATATTTCTTCTTGCCTTTTTCCCCCTTTTGGAATGGGAATTTCTATCCTATGCCTGTCTCATCATTATATTTTGGAGGCACACAACTTATTTGATTTCACAGGCTCACAACTGGAGAGTAATTTGCCTCAGGAGTCTCACCCACATATGATTTAAATGATATTTAGATGAGACTTTGGACTTAGACTTTGAATTTGGTGCTGGAAGAAGTTAGGACCTTGGGGACTATTAAAACAGAATAAACATATTTTGGATGTGAAAAAGGATGTGAATTTGGGGGAGAGGCAGAGATGAAATGCAATAGTTTCAATATATGTGTCCCCTTCAAAATTTATATTGAAACTTAAATCCACAATGCAACCTATTAAGAGGTTAGCCTTTAGGAGATGATTAATTCACATTAATTAAGGAGCAGATAAGGAGCACACTGAGGAACAGAGCTCTCCTCCACAGGATTAGCAACCAGGATAGAAGGGCTAGAGAAAACTACCAGGCCCCTTTTGCTCTTCTGCCATGTGACAACACAGCAACAGGAGCTATCCTGGAAGCAAAGAGAAAGCCGTCAACAAACACTAAACCTGTGGCACCTTGATCTTAGACTTCCCCAGCCTCCAAAATTCTGATAAATAAATTCCTATCATTTAAAAGTTACCCAGTCTCAGGTATTTTGTTATAGCAGCACAGACTAATACAATAATGAAATACCATTCAATAAATTAAGTGAAAGAACTAAGTACTGATATATGTTACAACCTGGATAAACTGCAAAAACATGTTGAGTGAGAGGAGTCAGATGCAAAAGATGAAATATTGTATTATTTTGTTTACATGAAATATCCAGAAAAGAGACAGAAAGCAGATTAGTGGTTGCATGGGACTGATGGTGGGAATGTGGTAACGGAAGTGTTCTAAAATTGGATTGTGGTGATGACTGTACAACTCTGAAAATATATTTTAAATGACTGAATTTACACTTAAAATGAGTAAATTTTATAGTGTGTTATTATACTTTTATAAAACTGTCAAAAAAATCAGTGTATACTTCTGGACATTCACTACAGCTTCTGTGCACAAGCACACAGCTCAATTATGACAACCATGAAGAAATAAAGTAATATTTAATGTTTAAAATTCCAGAAATTCCTTTTCCAGACTGTTAAGATAATCTCCTTATTTACCTAAGTTACATATCATACAGATTCAATTGTCTTTAATCTTTCTTTTGCTTTCTGAAAGGTTGAAGTATAAGCTGATGAACAGAATAGGTAGATGGGTAGGTACATAGGTACAGAAGAGAGAAAGTGCCATACATGTCATTGTTTCAATTCTGAAGAAAAAACCTACTTGGGTTTTTTTGTTTGTTTCTTTGCTTTTTCTTTTTCCTTTATTGTTTTACTCTAGGTCTCCAAAATGGTTCAGTAAAATTTCCCTTGCTTTATGCTTAGAAATTTTTTGTGAGTTATCAGGTGATAAGCACACCCAAAGCAATGAATTGATTTACATGTGTTTATACATATATTTCAGCTGCCCCCATGTAATATTGCCAAACTAATCATAAGAACATTCAGATGTAGCCTAAAATAACCAAAGAAGAGAATTTCATAACAATACATATTTATGTAGCATCAAGTCTTGTTATTTTATTTAAAATAACATATCTGAGAATGTAAAAAATTTATGCATAAATCTTTTATACTTCACTTGAAAACAGAATGAGAAGAAAATTCATTAACATATTTTTCATGATTCAAATGTTGCGGGCTTACTACATTTTGCTTGACTATACATTAAAAGTCAATCTTTGGCAATAGTTAAGACATACATTTCCTAATTCAGAGGTATATTTTCTAGACCTGAACTACCAGTAAAGTTTCCTACTGTGTTTCCTGGGCTTTAGTCTCTCCTTCTTGTACTGTAACATACACATAATGGCCATGTTTATGTTCTTTAAACACACCTTAGGTATGTCAGTTTCAGGTTAAGAAAAAACCAAACCAAAACACTGGATTCTAACTGCGTAAAGAACACTCTCTAAATCTTGGTAGGATAATTATTACAGTAGCTGCCAATGAATCAAGTCTCCCTATTTCATCTCCCTTTTGCAATATGATTTTTCTGCACATCCAGATGTGAAGAAGTCTATGTCTCTATGTCACTGAATCTGAGCTGCACAAATGATTTGCTTTAACCAACATATATGGTTGAAATGACACTATGTGGTTCCAGATCCTAGGCCTTAAGAAACCTTGTAGCTCTTTTTCTTGCTTTCTTGAAACCCTGAGATCACCATAATGTAAAGGAGCAGACAGAGTCTACTATGAATGATGACAGGCCATGTGGAAAAGAATCAAGATGTCCCACTTGACAGCCAGCACCAACTGCCAGAAATAATAGTGGAGCCATCTCGGATTCTCCAGTTTCTCTCAGGCCATCAGATTTCAGCAGTCGAAAGAGTAATCAAAAGTGAGGCCAGGGCCAGCCGTGGTGGCTCACGCCTGTAACCCTAGCACTCTGGGAGGCTGAGGCAGGAGGATTGCTTGAGCTCAAGAGTTCGAGACCAGCCTGAGCAAGAGTAAGACCCCATCTCTACTATAAACAGAAAGAAATTAACCAAACAACTAAAAATAGAAAAAAATTTAGCTGGGCACGGTGGCACATGCCTGTAGTCCCAGCTACTCGGGAGGCTGAAGCAAGAGGATTGCTTGAGCCCAGGAGTTAGAGGTTGCTGTGAGCTAGGCTAATGCCACGACACTCTAGCCTAAGTGAAACCAGCAGAAAACTGCCTTGGTTATCAACCACAGACAGAATTGTGAAAAATAACAAATTGTACTGTTTCCAGCCACTAAGTTTTGGGGTGCCTTGTTTTTAGCAAACTGGCACATATAGAATTATAGACTCTAGCATTTGGATCTAATATTTTTTTTCTTGAACTTTTGTCATATTTATCTCCCCTTCACTTACTATTTGGACTATTTACTTATCATAATATATAACCCTTGTTCCTACATGGTTACCCTTTTGCTCCTTTCAACAGAAACTCCTCTCTACCCAATACCTACTACAATTCCTGTTTTTTGAAGCCCTAACTCAAATATGATCTCCCTCGTAAAGCCTTCCTTGAACCTCAGTGTTCCCTCTAAATTCCTATAGCACATGTAAGTTCATATCTTAGCCAAAGTTTCACAAAAATATCTATACTTGATCTTAGCCAGAAGGACGAGAAGTGATACAAAAGTATCTATATTTAGTGTTTAACATTATCACCCCTACTCACCTATTATCTATCCTGATGACAGTAATTATATATTTGTATTTTTATTTCTTACAACACTTATCACAAAGTACATAGTAGCCACCCAGTAATTAACTGTAAAATAAACAAAAGAACAACTAGTTAAATCATTCCCAAGTAGTATATTCCAAACATATTCCAAAAAATATTTCATTTTTTTATTACTGCATAATGAACTCCCTAAAATGTAGAGGTTTAAAACAATAACAATTTATCTTTTCATATAATTTGTGGGTTGGGTGGGAAGCTTCTCCGGTCTTCCTGGGCTTACTCATGTAGATGCATTCAGCTAGAGATCTGGCTAAGACAAAAGGTCCAAGACAGCCTCACTCCTGTGCTCAATGGTCAGTGTTCATTATTGGCTGGGGTGCCTTAGTTCTTTTGTATGTGTCTTCTCATCGTCTAGTAGGTTTGACTGTCTTCCCTGGGTATCAGTCCAAAATAACATAGATGGAAACTACAAATTCTCTAAAGACCTAGCTTTCATCAACTTTATTCTTTTTGTCAAAGCAAATCACAAGGTCAGCCCAGATTGTATGTGTGTGGAAACAGACTCCATCTCTTCATGAGAGGAGATAAAAAATATAGTCATTATATTTTTCAATTTACTA